TCGAGCTCGAAGTCAGCCACGGACAACCGTAAAGGTAAATAGGCACTGCTTTTTCCCTTTCCCCTTTTTTCTCTCTTTATCTCGTTGCGTTCGCTAATTGGATTCGTGTCAGTGCGATCGTCGCCGTCGGTGTCTAACGATATCTGACACCAGCAGCAGCTGCTGCTGCACTTTTTGCCGTCATTTAATAAGCCACCTGACCTGCTATTAGTTCAGACTCGCAGAGTGAGAGAGAGAGAGTGTGCTTGTCGGTGTCTGTGTATGTGAATCTCTCTGTTTCTTCGTCATCTGATACTTTCTCGTAGTTTGTCACCAACTTATGAGCTCCTCTCTAACTCTTTGCTCCTCTCGGTCGTTCTCATTGCACTGATGATAACGGCAGCTGCAGCAGCAACATTAGTAGTTTTTGCGAAAAGTGGTGGTTGTCAATGTTGAGGAGGAACAAAAAGAGCTACTACTTTTAGCCCCACTCATTTAGACCTCTAAAGATTCAATTTAGAACCGATGAACATGAGTTTTCATTTCCATTTTTTATTGCTCAATAAATAGGGGATTTAGTTTCGATTGTGTGTTTAGATGATGTCGCGCGGTGATGGGATGAGATCGGTGCTGCTGAATGTTCTTGCTTCAATTGAACTCCTTAGAAATCGAAATCATCTCCATAGCTGCCCTGGTCACCGCCGCCATCTCCTCCTCCGTGGCCGCCATGATCATCCTGGTAGTGGCCATCGCCTCCACCATGATTATCTCCATTATCACCCTCGTAGCTGCCGTCATCCTCGTCATCCTGGCCATCGTCATTTTCCGCCTGGTGGTCGTCATGGTTGCCGCCGCCATGGCCGTAGCCCGTTCCGCCTCGCCGGTCGTAGTTGTCCTTGTCCTTCTTCTTCAGCCGCTTGTCCTTGTCCGAGTCGTACTCGTGGTCGTATTCCTTGAAGGTGCCCGACCCGTAGTTGATCAGGTAGTCGCCCGGGTCGGCCATCAGTGAGGACTTTGAAGATGACCGCCTGGAAGGCATCGGGTCGACGTTGAACTTCATCGAGCGGCTGCTGGCGCGTCCTTGCGGTCGACTCTTGGAGAAGCCATCCTCGCCGCCGTCCTCGTCACCATCACCATCGTCGCCCCCATCGTAAATGTCATCGCGTTCCTCCGTTCGATCGGGCTCCTCTCGTTGGAAGTAGTTGTAGCTGTACTTTTTCGGCTTCTTCTTTCCGTCCCCGTTTTCGAACTTGCCCGACTTGTAGAAGTTGGGCCCGGACACGGCCCACCCGTAGATGTCGTCACCGGGCGGGGAAGAGGAGGCGGAGGGTTTTCTCGACTTTCTTCGCTTGGAAGAAGGCGAAAGCGAGGGCGGCAGGGGCAGCAACGCCCCTCGGTCGGCGGCGTAGTAGCCTCGGCTGTAGCCGCGGGTGGCTCGTCGTACTCGGCGCGCTCGCCGACTGTTGTTGTTGATAGTGGTGGGCGTGGTTGTTGTTGTTGTCGTTGTCGTAGAAGAGGTTTGAGCTGACGGAAGTGGCTGATGGCCGCTAANTTCGCTTGGAAGAAGGCGAAAGCGAGGGCGGCAGGGGCAGCAACGCCCCTCGGTCGGCGGCGTAGTAGCCTCGGCTGTAGCCGCGGGTGGCTCGTCGTACTCGGCGCGCTCGCCGACTGTTGTTGTTGATAGTGGTGGGCGTGGTTGTTGTCGTCGTTGTCGTCGTCGTCGTAGAAGAGGTTTGAGCTGACGGAAGTTGCTGATGGCCGCTGACCACGGTGGCTGAGTTTGAAGAGGCCGCCGCAGCAGCACTGGGAGTGGTCTGCGTCGGCCTGGTGACACTTTCAGCCGGCGAGGCTGCCAAGCCGACGTTTTCATCATCAGCATCGCCTTCATCGTCATCGCCGTCGGCGTTGTCACCCCCGTCACCCCCTCCACCTCCACCACCTCCATCACCTCCCTCATCACCACCCTCTCCATCGTCGTCTTGTCCCTCTGCATCTGATCCACCACCATCATCACCTCCACCGCCATTGGGATTGGTAAACTCAAAGTAAGCGTTTGGCGAATCATAGATACCATCATCCTCGGTGGTGTCATCGCCGTCCGTTATCGAGTCTGAGGTTTTGGGGATGGAGGGCGCCAAAGGAGCCAACGGGGCAACCGGGTCCCGACTTCCAAAGCCGCCGCCGATGGCCGAAGCCGTCTGCTCATCGAGGACCGACACCGCCGGTCGGTTGTAGTAGATGTGGTAGTGCGGATAGGGGTACTTGTGAAAGTGCTGCGTGTTGTCACCCCCGCTCAAGGACATTGTTGAAGAGGAAGAAGGTGGTGATGAAGAAAGATTGCTATCATCGAGGGTGTAAGCCGCCGAAGGAGGAGGAGGGTTCAGCTGATGGTCGGGGTACTCGCTAAGTTGATTGTAGTATGAAGTTCGGGCTGGTGATCGATCTCCGAAGTTTCCAGTGCTAAATCGAGCCGACCTCCAGGGATCGGCGTTGATGGGCACGAAGCGGGACTCGTCGGTGGGCATCTTTGGCTTGAGGCTGGCGATGCCGTTCTCCTGATCACTTCCACCAACTCCTGAAGTGGGCGTCGGCTGGTGGGGAATGGGC